TCTCTCTCTCTCTCTCTCTCTCTCTCTCTCTCTCTCTCTCTCTCTCCTCCTCTCCCTCTCCATCTCCCTCTCCCTCTTCCCCTCCCTCTCTCCCTCTCCTTCTCCCTCTCCCTCTCTCTCTATCATTTACATGGCATACTTTTGCCCATCCTTTATCTTTTAAACTGTCAGAGTCATCTTGCCTTAGGCATGACTCTCATATTTTGGGGACAATCTATACTTTTGGCATTTGGTCAGCCTGGGGCAGGAGATGACCTGAAATAGTGCCCACTGGCCTCGGAATTTGCCTGTTTGATAGAGATCTTTTATTATTATTATTATTATTCATGTTTTTGAAAATGTCTTCATTTCACTTGCATCCCCCACCTTTTTTGCCCCTCTAGCTCCCAAATTTTAATGATGAAAAATTTCAAGCATTGTGAGAAGATGAAAAACAATGACAATGAACATCTGTAGAGCCTCCAGTAGTTTCCACAATGTTAACATCTTGCCATATTTATTTTATTTTTCTCTATCTCTATCTAGGCATATCCATCTATCTATCATCTATCTACCTATCAATCTATCATCTATCATCTATATATCTCTATATCATTTGAAAATCAGTTGTAGACATGATACTCTACTCCTAAACACTGCAGCATGCATCGCCTAAGACTAAGAATCATTTACATAACCACAAACCATTATCACATACAAGACATTAACCATGGTGGAAGTCTTTTTAAATTCTGTATTTCATTGCTGGAAGTTCTCCTAGCGGTCTAGAATCATAGGGCTACAAGGGGCTTGCTGGAGGCGTAATCTCTTCCTGATTATGCCCTCTCAGGAAGACAAGAACAAGGGAGGATTTTATAATTGGCTACAAGTGTTCGAAGGGCTGGCATGTGGAATAGTGAGTCAATTTTCCCTTTGAAGCTACAGGTGCGAGCATTTGGGGTAAAGAGTGGAAGTTTTCAAGGAAGCAAACTGAACCTAGTATGAGGTTGCTGGCCCCATTCAGCAGTGAGTTCCCTGTCATTGGAAATACCAGGGAAAATTGGATGGCCCCTTTTCTGGGATGCTGTGGAGGGAATCGTGTTGGGTAGAAAGCTGGTCTATAGGACTTTCAGGTCCCTTCCAACAATTCTTAGGGGATANCTTTAATGCTCTTTAATCTGGCCGCTATCTCAGAGATTAACAAGTAATCTTAGAAGGCCATTTCCCCTCATCTTTAGTTACTTCCTTCTACAATTCCAAGGGACGTTTCCCCAGAATTTAAAAATCATTATCCAAAGAACAGAATAGACAAAACCGACACTTTCCCAGTTTTCTAGGGTCAGGTGAAGCTGCAGATAGAAGCACTATTTTCAGTTTCTAGCAAAGCAGTTGGAAGGACCTTCAAGCTCAGGGGCCCCTGAAGGGAGGGAGGCGGTTTCCACAGCAACCGGGGCTCCTCGGGCTGCTCCCTCCTCCTCCTCCTGGTAGCCCAGGGTACCGCCGGACAGCGTCCTCCCGTGCTCCGCGCCCTGATTGGCCGCACAGGCCGCGCGCTGATTGGCTGCGGCCATGCCTCGCGGGACGGTGGCTATGGAGGCGGCGGCGGTTGATGGTTGACCGTTGGCACCGGGGTTGGGGTCGCTGCTCCGGCGATCCGCTCAGACCCAGCCAGAGTGTGCGTGCGGCTGACGCTCGGCCTGGAGCCCGCGGGAGAGACCTAGCTCGGCTCCGCCATGCCGGCCGGGAGTAACGAGCCGGACGGCGTCCTCCGCTATCAGGTAGGGCCCCGCCTCCCGCCACTCCCCGGGGCTCAGCCTCCTCATCCTCTGCCTGCCCTCCTGCCTCTGCCCCCGAATCGGGCTCCGCAGGCCACTCCCTGAGGGCGAGGGGAAGTCAGCCCAGGACACCAGAGGGCGCTCCGGGAGGTTGGGGATTCGGCCGGGTCTGCAAGAGGATGACCTTGGACCAAACCCAGGAGCAGGCGGATCGGTGCCGCATCCCTTGCGCGGCCGGCAGTGACCTCTGTTTTCCCGGGGCCCTCCCTGTTGGGAGAGAGGCCGGCTTCTGGCCTCGCCGTGTCCTGCCTGAATGTGAGAGAAAGGGTAGCCAGGGATCTTGCTGTGGCGGGGCAGGTCTCCTCTTTGTTTTTATTTCTGGGGGTTTCCGGTTCTTCAATGGCTCCGAGGAAGAGCTGGAAAGACTGGAGGCTGGGACCAAACCCTGTTAGTGTGTCCAGTTTTATGACTCCCTCCACTCCACTGCACAGACACCTGACAAGTTCTGGATAGGGAGCAGAAATGGGCTGGGGAGTGTTGAGGGGTCTGGAACTGGTGTTTATTTAAGGGAATGAGCAAATCACATTTAAGTAACTGATAACCCAACTGCTGGGGTGGCTAATGTAAGGAAAAGCACTGGACTAGGTGTCAGAGCCTGTAGGTTCAAGTGTACACCTACCTCACACAGGCTTTGTGACCTTGAGTAAGTCACTTGCCTCTTTGAACCTCAGTTCCCCCATGTAGTAAAATGGGAATGATGATATCTGCTTCCCTTACCTCACAGGGTTGGTTTGAGGACAAAACAAGGTGCTTTTTGTGAAAGAGCTTTGTGAAATAATGTTTATTGTGTGACAACCAGTAAATGAGTGGTGGTTCGTTGAATTCCCTACTCCCTCTTTCCTGTGCAATCAGGTAGAAAGAGGGATTGAAGGGGGGGGGTCAAATCTAAAGTGGAGGGTTGTGAAGAGAATGATGGACCTTCTCAGGCAGAATGATGAAGCTTCTCAAAAAAGACGATGGGTCTTGGAAACAAGTGCCTCATTGACATCAGCGATAGTCTGTAAGGAGGCAGGGAAAACATTGAGTTTGTAGCAAAATGGGTATCGGACATGCACTCTCTCCTCTTCTTCCTGGTAATAGTTTGCTACTAGAAGGTCCATAATTCCTTCTTTGCTTCCTCCATCAAAAAAGGAACCATATCTAAGATTTTGGAAAATCTTTTCGTATCTAATTCTTCTAAGGCCTACTAAGTGTATTCACCCTGTGATTGGGACACAATGATGAGCAAAACTAGGCAATGTTCTTGCCCTCTGGAGCGTCTCATCTAGTGTGTGTGTGTGTGTGTGTGTGTGTGTGTGTGTGTGTGTGTGTGTGTGTGAAATAACTAACCTAATTAAATAATCACACAAGTGAATGTATTATAATAAACTGTGATATAGATATATATGTGATAAGTGCTTTGAAAGAAAGATAGTACTAAGTGTGNTCTGTTCCCCTATCTGTTTTTTCTGCTTGCTTTAGAAAAATAATCAGTGTGAAGTGGTGTCCTTGGCTGAATATCCTCCTTCCGGCTCCTTTCGTACCAGCTTGCTGGCCAGGCTGACAGCAGCACATTTGCACTTTTCCAAGCAGTGTAGGGAGCAGAAGCTAAGAATCTGGAGCCTGGAGCCTGGAGCCAAGTGAGCCAGCCTCCTTTGGGAAGGAGAGACCAAACCAGCCCTGGGAAGGGAGAGTCTATGGGCAGCAGTGTCCCAGATGGCAGGCAGCCGCCTCAGGCAGCCTCAGAGGCTGCCTCTGTGGCCTAGTTCCTTTTGTAATTTGCACTATAGACCAGAAGATGGGGCTCTTGACCCTGGAGTCAAGGGCCAGAGGCTCTGACTTGTTCCACATTTGAACTGGAGGAAAATCAGACCCACTAGAGCTCCCATAAGCCTTTACCTCCTCATTCCTCTCCCTATTCTGCCCACCCAAGCCCATCGGGAGCTGTCTTTTCCGGGGAGAGGGGAATCTGAGCATATTTTCCTCTGGTCGCCATCCTGGGCCCCTCCTGAATTACCACGTTGCCAGAGTTAGCCTAACTAACCCCCTGCATGAGGTTTCTCCCTCTAATCCATCTTGCCGCTAATCGCAGATTTTGGCCATGGTACTACTTATATGGGACGTGTTGTGTAGTGACCAAGAAGTGTAGAATCAGACAGACTTGTCCTTGACTCATCTCATCAGGAGAAGCTGTCCTCACCTCCTCAGAGAAGCCCTCTCCATCTCCCATGCTAGCTACTCTCTATCATATA